CAATGGACGCGGAACTGGAGTTCGCCATCCAGTCGACGACGACGGGCAAACAATTGTTTGACCAGGTGGTGAAGACGATCGGCCTGCGTGAGGTGTGGTTCTTTGGCCTCCAGTACACCGACTCCAAGGGCGATCTGACATGGATCAAGCTGTACAAAAAGGTAAGAATCTATCTAACTTAGCTTATAGTAAGTCCTATAGGAATTGTGAGTAAGAAACTATTACTATCCTAGATAGAGAATTTTGTACATTTTAATTAAGAAATTAAGGATATTAATTCAGAAATGCATCTTGAAATAGTATATAAAATGACTTCATAAACAAAGTTCTTTAAAATGAAGCATTTTATATGGGAATGAGTACTTAGTTTAGTTTAGATTTCTTTAATAACTTATATATATATATACTATATATATATTGCTATATAATATAATATAGCCCGAATCGCCGGCCATAAAGACCATGAAATATTTGAAGCGTGTGAAGAAGTACGTGGACAAAAAGACAGCCGCCGACAATAATGGATTAAATCAGGCGGAGACAAGCGAAGACGATGATGATGCCGATGATATGGTGGGATTATAACTGAAAATATCTTCAGACAACCAAAAAACCTCCCATTAAAAATCCAAAACTCCCAGCTAGATCAAGAAACCATAGCTCCATAGTTCCTAGTAGTTTATCCTTGTTTTTTTCTGTAGCTTAAGTTTAGTGTTGTATATAAAAATATGACCACTATTATAAATATTATTAAAATATCTATATATAATTTAATGCTGCACAACAACAACAATAGACTGGATCAATGCCGTTCTCGACATGGGTAACACTTTAGAGAAAAAGCACTAAATATACATATAAGCTTACTTTTTGTTTTATTTTGTATTAATTATTATTAAAATTATGTTGTATATGCAACCATTATGTAGTCGCTTCCACCACAAATTTTATTACTCTTTATGTTATATTACTATCTATTATAATTTATATACTTTATAAATTCAGTTGGAGAGTATTTAAAGAGCTTGAAGATAGTTATTTTTATTTAATATATTTTTTTTTAAATCAATTTTAACTACGAAGAGATCTATTTATTTCAATATTTATTATTTGTAATTAATATACTTTCCTTTCTCTATTCCTTAGGTGATGAATCAAGATGTGAAGAAGGAGAACCCATTGCAGTTCCGTTTCCGCGCCAAATTCTATCCGGAGGACGTGGCCGAGGAGCTGATCCAGGACATTACACTGCGCCTGTTCTATCTGCAGGTGAAGAATGCCATACTGACCGACGAGATCTATTGTCCGCCCGAGACATCCGTCTTGCTGGCCTCGTATGCCGTCCAAGCGCGTCACGGCGATCATAACAAGACCACACACACAGCCGGCTTCCTGGCCAACGATCGTTTGCTGCCGCAGCGTGTCATTGACCAGCACAAGATGTCCAAGGAGGAGTGGGAGCAATCGATTATGACCTGGTGGCAGGAGCATCGCAGCATGCTGCGCGAGGACGCCATGATGGAGTATCTGAAGATTGCCCAGGATCTGGAGATGTATGGCGTTAATTACTTTGAGATCCGAAACAAGAAGGGCACCGATCTGTGGTTGGGCGTGGATGCTCTTGGCCTTAATATCTACGAGCAGGACGATCGGCTGACGCCGAAGATTGGCTTCCCATGGTCCGAGATTCGTAACATTTCCTTTTCGGAGAAGAAGTTCATTATCAAGCCAATTGACAAGAAGGCGCCGGACTTTATGTTCTTTGCACCACGCGTTCGCATCAACAAGCGTATCCTGGCCCTCTGCATGGGCAACCATGAGCTCTATATGCGTCGCCGCAAGCCGGACACCATTGATGTTCAGCAGATGAAGGCGCAGGCGCGCGAGGAGAAGAATGCCAAACAGCAGGAACGGTTAGTTGTTTGTTGTTATTATTTCATCGATGTTTTCTCTAATTTTCCCTAATTTTTATCCATTTCAGTGAGAAGCTGCAGCTGGCGCTGGCCGCTCGCGAACGCGCCGAAAAGAAGCAGCAGGAGTACGAGGATCGATTGAAGCAGATGCAGGAGGAGATGGAGCGCTCGCAGCGCGATTTGCTTGAGGCCCAGGAAATGATCCGTCGCTTGGAGGAGCAGCTGAAGCAGCTGCAGGCCGCCAAGGATGAACTGGAGCTGCACCAGAAGGAGCTGCAGGGCATGCTGTTGCGTCTCGAGGAGGCCAAGCATCTGGAGGCCACCGAGAAGGCCAAGCTCGAGGAGGAGATTATGGCCAAACAGATGGAGGTGCAGCGCATCCAGGATGAGGTCAATGCCAAGGATGAGGAGACGAAGCGTCTGCAGGACGAGGTGGAGGAGGCCCGCCGCAAGCAGGTCAGTGTGGTACGATATCGAATGCTACGTTGGTTCTATAAAAACACACTTGCATTCCATTCGCACTTAATAATTGATCATAAATCAATCATTTCATTTCATTTAACATATAAATTCTAAATAATGTATATGTTTTTACTATATTTGTACAGGCCGAGGCGGCCGCCGCTCTGCTGGCCGCGTCCACAACGCCGCAGCACCACCATGTGGCCGAGGATGAGAACGAGAACGAGGAGGAACTGACAAACGGAGATGCCGGCGGTGATGTGTCGCGCGACCTGGATACCGACGAGCATATCAAGGACCCCATCGAGGACAGACGCACGCTGGCCGAGCGCAACGAGCGCTTGCATGACCAGCTCAAGGTGGGTTTTAAATAATATTGCCTTGCAAAATGCTTAATAATATTACAATTTTCTATATCTTTCTGCAGGCCCTGAAACAGGATCTGGCGCAGTCACGCGACGAGACGAAAGAGACGGCAAACGACAAGATTCATCGCGAGAATGTGCGCCAGGGAAGGGACAAGTACAAGACGCTCCGCGAGATCCGCAAGGGTAACACAAAGCGTCGCGTCGATCAGTTCGAGAACATGTAAAGATATATGGCCAGATAGATAGAGAGAGCGAGATAAATACGCGGAGCAAGAGAGAAGGAGCCGAGTCTCCGAAAAGAAAGGAAAGAAAGATATAATAACCACCAACAAGAGCAACAACAACAACAGCCCTCTGCCGTTGTTCCATAATGATGATAATATGATGATGATAACGATGATGATGAAGAAGAAGAAGCAACAAATATAATTCCGGTCGCTGACCAAAAGCCTGGCAGCGACCACCTCGTTTTTTGCAACTATTACACCCTTCCCAAACACCACTTTTCACCTTCCAATCTATTCAGAACCAGAAATCAGAAAAACATAAAGCAACATATATATATTTACTATATATATATATATATATATATATATATAAACATTTCTCCTTTTCCCAATGCCTTCTCATAGAGAAAATGGAACGAATAGTAATAGAAATCAAAAACCCAACAGCAACAACACAGATACTACAACAAAAAAAGAAAACGTAAAACAACTATTTGCATTTTTCCCCCGTTATAATTATTATTTTTATTATATTATATAATTACTATTTTTTTTTAAATTTGTATAATTAAATAAGAGAGAACTTGATTGTTTCTTAAAATTAAAAACAAAACAAAACTTGAGAGAGAGAGAGCAACAAACAAACAAAAAGAGAAAAAATAAATATTATATAAAATATTTTTCTTCTTTAAATATATTTTTGTTTTGAAAGAATACAAAAAGGAAAAAAAAACAAACAACAAAAACTATTGTGAAAAAACCAAACAAAAAGTTTTTAAATTAAACAATAAAAATTAAAAGAAAACACGAAAACACTGCATTTTTAATTATATATTAAAACAGGGCTGGGAACCATCTGTTAGTAATTTTCAGAACCTCCATTGCTTTGAAACTGCCTTGGCTGTAAACCCGGCTAAAACGTGTTTTCAGCGAACTACCGAAAGGTGGCGGTCATCGCGTATTTACAACAACAACAACGCCCGTCCATCCCAAATTCTCTTAAATCGCGTCCAAATTGCCAATTTTCCCATCCGATGTACCAGGCCAACAGAAGGCAGCAGCAAGTGACTGCGAACTGTTATAAACTGTTATAATAAACAAATATCGATCCGGCAACGTTGGCTTCCGCCGATCCGGCAACGTTGGTCAATTTTCTGAGCTTTTTAGCCGGTCTGGCAACGCCGGCCGAATGTTATCGATTATTTCGCCAATCTGGCAACCCTAGCAAAAATCGGTTATCGCAACGTAGGTTGCCAGATCGACGAAATTCAACGTTGCCAGATCAATTTTTTTCAAATTTGAATTTAAATTTGGCGGTTAATTATTTAAAGTTAAATTCAAATTTCGCGGTTGTCTTATATTGCGGAAACTGATTGTTTTTTTAATTGGGCGTTAAATTATTTATTTTATTGTTTTTAAAATTGTAGTTGTTCTAAAAGTTGTTGTTGTACTAGCGCTTTATTTATGCAAATATCAAATTGATAACAATAGATACATCAGCTATGTATATGTTTATATGGTATATATAAATTTATATATATATTTATTGTTCTATATTATGCTAGCAGGTATCAGATATATCGTGATATATAAATGAGCTGCAGCAAGAAAAAAAGGGTAAATACCAAACAACCGCGCAACTTAAGGTAGCAAAAAAAAACAAAAAAAAATATATTGGTAAGAAATCCGTTTCGATTCTTTTCTTCGTTGGCTATACGTAGTACATACATTCATATGCTTAATAGTAGGCTAATTCAGTATTATGCATATAATAAAAACACGATTTCACTCTCTCTCTGAAGGCACATAATTACAGGGGTTGGCGCCTTTTTTTTCGGTTCGCTTTCGGATCCCCCAACTAGGCCCCCTTTACGGTAGGGGCTGGATCTGATGGATATATGAATATATGGATACATGGATATATATATATATATATATATATATATCTCGATATATATATATATATATATATATATATATATCTCGATATATATATATATATATATATATATATATATATATCTCGATATATATATATATATATCTCGTTTTAGAAGGGCAAGCTTCGCTGTACCAAATTAGTATATGGATTATACATGATAGATAGCAAAGGGCTTACAATATGGAGTCACCAGTTGCCATTGTGGATTAACTTAGTGTATATGTTTAGACGGTTGTACATATATATATATATATAATATTTCAATCTAAACCAGGCTTTCGCAGAAACCTTACGGACGGGAGTTTTAAAGAAATTAAAATTAAGATTTTAAGCGACATTTTAAAATCATTTTAAATAATCAAAGTGCGACAACAAGTATTGCTCAAATATAGAAGATAATTAGGGTGTTCTTTTTTTAAACAGATTTATAAGTGATACAAATTATATTTGTTATTTTTTAAAAACTCTTCCATTGGTTGTTTAAAGATTTCTGCGACTCCCAAAAATCTTTTTTCTATAGACTTTTGTGTGTTTTTGTTGCTCTTATTACGAGATTAGCTTGGATTTCGTTGCACGGTTTTTTTTTTGCCTTACAAAATTCTAGAATCTTTACCCCCATTTCAGTAAGGATTCACTGCCGCCAGACCCACTCGTCCGCCGGATCTGGCAAATACCGGCTCCGCATAGCTGTGCCTGTAGCCCTTGGGCATGCTGGTCAAGGGTTTTCCATTTCCACCAGAGGGGCCCTCGCCGCCGGGTCTTGTCGGTGTGGCTGCGGGCGAGGGATAACGATCCAAGCCTCGATTAGAGCCCGTCGTCGAGGGGTTCTTCGTTTGCGTTGTCGATGTCTCGACGCTGTGCAGATACTCCCGGGAATGTGCACGGCCTCCACGCTCACAATCACGATCCCGTTCGTTTCGATAGGGATCACGGGAGTGCTCCCGATTGTAGTCACGATCCCGATTCCTTTCCCTCTCTCTGTCCCGCTGATTCCTCTCCAGGTGTAGCAGCGGTTCGGGTTCCCAGGCATCACCCCGGGATCGGGGACGGGAACGGTTGGACTCTCGCTGCTTGGACTTTTCGGAAACTGCTACTGGCACCACTGGCACCGACAGATCCTCGTCCTCCTCGCTCCATTGCTCGTAGGTGCTGGGTGGCTCCATGGAGCCGCGTCGTCGCCGGGAGGAGGATCGATAGGGATCACGTTGTGGCGTATCACGTTCGTCTACGTCCACATTGTAGCGGCTCACTGCCGGCCGCTGCTCCATAGCCCGGAACTTGTCCTTGGCATCGTGGAATCGATCCCGCTGGGCGCTCTGCGAGGGCGGGGGCACAAACTCACGATCACGGTCCCGGTCACGATCTCGCTCTCGTTCCCGCTCGCGTTCCCTGAGCCTTTCACGTTCGTTCTCGCCTCGATCTCTGGACTTGGCTGTGCTGCTCTCGCCGTAGCGCATGCCCGTGGACTTCATCATCTTCTCCATGCTCTGGATGTAGGGCAGGCTCTCTGCCTCCCTGTATGGATTGCGGTCACGCGAATGATCCCTTTCGCGGTCTCGTTCGTGGTCCCGCCGTCTATCCCTGTCCACGAGGTCACGTTCTCGGTCGCGGTCGCGATCCCGTTCCCGTTCTCGTTCTCGCTCTGGCATCCTGTCGTGCCGCCGCTCAGTGGTCCTCTGGCCCAGGTCTGCACCTCTGTGCACTGCCGCATATTTGTTGTGACCCGCTGCCGCTGCCGATGAGGAGCCAGAGACGGGCACACCCGCGGAGGACTCAAACGGCAAATGATCTTGGGGTTCTACATAGCGCTGACGATAGCGCTGGGCCTCTTCGTTGCCGCCGCCACCGTAGGAGCTCTTGAGGAGCTGCTGCTTCTTGGTGGTGTACTCCATGAACTTTTGTTTGTCGGTGAGGTTCTCCTTGCGATGATGATGCATCATGAGGACCGGAGCCGGCTGCTGTGGCTGGTGGTGAATGGGATGGTGCAGCAGCGGTGGTGACTCTCTACCCGGATCCGAGTCCTCAAAGTCATCGTGTGTCTTGCGGTCGCGCTCGTGGGAGAGCTTCTTGTTCAGCAGCCGGTTGATCTCGTTGTACTTGTCCGTGTCCCGCAGCTTGGCGGGTTGCTGCTGCTGCTGCTGATGATGGTTGCCGGAATGCTGTTGCTGTTCCTGCTGCAAAACTCGGTTGAACTTGGCATCATAGTCAGCCGGACGCATTATAATGGGTTTGATCTCATCCTCGCGGCTCCACGATTTGTTTGAAATGGAAGCCGGGGTTTTGGTGCGCTCCCGGTCACGTTCTCGCTCCCGCTCCCGCTCACGTTCCCTCTCCCGATCGCGTTCTCTTTCACGCTCTCGCTCCCTGTCTCTGTCCCGCTCCCTTTCCCGCTCAATTTCCCGGTCACTTTGACGTGGCTGATACGGCTTGGCGGGCAGATCCCTTAGGTAACTGTCCTCCGGCGGCTGGACGGCGCTCTTTCGCTTCAGCTGGGCATGGGCATGATGGGGCATGGCAATTTGTGAGGGTTTCAAGGCAATCACCGAGTTGTCTGCCTCATTGCTCCAGTGTTCGTCATCTGAAAAGGAATATATATTTAGTAAAATTCTCTTAAATCTCTCGCTAATCAATGTACCGCTGGAGCTGTTGAGCTCTTGTCTCTCGGGACTTGGTGCCAGATCCGAACCAATGCCGGATGAACCTCTGGACGAGACCTGTTTGCCATTATTGGCATTCGTGACAACGCCGCCGGCTGCTCCTCCTACTGCTGCTGGATTGGCAGCTCCTCCTGGCAAACCGGAACCCGGCGCCAACTGACCCTTGGGCACACCGCCGACTATCAAAGCATTCCGGCAGCGACGCAGCTCAATGGCCGTCAGGTTTCCCTTGGAACGGTGCACCGTGTCATAGTCACGTGGTGGCAGGAGCAACGGTGGACCGTTTCCATTAAGTTTGGCCCTCAGCTCAGCGGCCAGGGAGTCAAACAGGTCGCTGTTCTGCTGCGGCGTCAAGGGGGGATGATGCAGCGGCGGATGTGGGTGGGGATGTGCTTTGCCGCCGACTCCACCATGCGGCGGGGATCGGGAGACTGGTGAGGATCCACCAGCCAGGCCATGCTCCTCACTGCACTCGGACTCGCGGGTGCTGTTGCCCGTGTCGCTGCCCAGGCTGTTGCTGAAGCGCTTGGGGATGAGGTGTCGTGGCGGCGTCCTTGGTAGCCACCACCACCACCCCCTCCGCCGGACTGTTGTGACTGCAATTGGTGGTGATGAGAGGAGGGGCCTCCTCCCTCGCCTCTTCCTCCCAAGGATGACGACTTTCCATTGGTTTCGTGACGCTTTTCGCTGCTGTGATTGTTGTTGCTGCTGTTCATGGGAATCGGCGGCAGGATGCCCAGTCTGTGAATAGGATTTTTAAGAATAAATGGGTTAATATTGATTTTAAAATATAAATGTAATGTATAATATTAAATAAAATTAAGAAAACATTAAAAGGAATTTTATCAATATATTTATAAAGCTATATTTCATTTTTGAGAAAGGCTTTATCTAAATAGAACCTTAGAAGTCAATCAACTTTTCTCAGCATTATAATATTTATTATTATGTTAATTATTATTGTATAATTTTAGTAGTAGTATAATAATTGTAGTAGTATAATTTGTAGTATTTATTTATTTTTTTAAATTCATAATGCAGTGCCCAAAATTCTGATTATCAATAATTATTCATTAACAAAATGCAAATATTTCAGGAGCTCTTGAGGGCATAAAATGCCCAAAAAGATACTGATTGTCAAAAGTCATATATATTCTGAATCGTCATTAAAAGTCCAATTAATTAACTATAAAATACTGCAAAAAAAAATTTTTAAAATTTTTAATCAATTTTTCAAAATTTTTAAAGAGGTTACATCGTTAAAATTATCAAAAAAAAAATTGATAAAAATTTGAACATTTTATATATTTAAACTGAGTATGCAGATTTTTTAACCTAATAAAAACTAGCATAGAACAGCTTTCCGAATTGAAATTAAATCATTTTTTACCTAGTTATGGCTTTTTAAAAATTAAGATTTGTTCCAAAATTAATCATAAAAAATATCGATAAATAACGATTTAAAGAACCTATACATATGTTTTTTATAATTTTTTTGTAGACCATAAAAATAATTTAATGTTTTTCTTCCTCTCTCAGACATCTATTTCATCGTTGATCGTTTATCGATAGTGACAGATGGCGGCAACTTTGAAAATAGAATTTCCGCGAAGCCATTGAGCGTGTTCGAGAAGGCATTTAAGATATTTAAAGCCGAATGTCAGATGGGGATGTGGGTGCTGGAGATCACTTGACTGGCTCCCAGTTCGTGGGAAGTAGAAATTGCGATTGCAATTACTTTGGGCCACTGGGAGACCTCTCCTTCTCGCTGCCAGAGCTAGGCTTCCCCATTATAATCCTCGCCCATTCCCGTTCCCATTCCCATCATCATCATCATCATCATCATCATCATGATCATGCAGTGTTAGTGCCCGAACGATTATCACGATCGCTCGTCAAGCCAGAGCTATATGTGAGCCCGGCTGAGTGTGTCTAATGGAGTGACTAAGTGGCCCGGCTGCCACTGCATCTGCATCTGCAACAGCTTCCTGCTTGGTACCCCAAGTTGGCGTTGCAATTAATTAAATGTTGCATAAGAAGGACCCCAAACAGCACTCACAGAAATAAGCATTTAGCAAGAAATTACTTATATGCAATTATACATATATAAAAATTTATAAGTCCTACCTGGTCTCCAGCTCCTCGAATCGCTTCTGGTTGTCCGGACGATTGATGAGTATCTGCAGCTGAAGATGCAGTGCCTCCGCCGTGGACTCGGAATCGCAGCGGTAGGCATGAACGTGAAGTGGACACTTGGTGGCCGGATTATAGAGCAGCAGGACGCAGGCTACGATGTCGTCCGTCTGCACGGAGCTGGTTATGGCACTGTGTGGAATCAAATGCTTCGACGTCCCCTGGACGATCTTGATGCCCTTGTGGGACACCTGGAGGGTCACCTTCAGTGGCTCCTGTCCGCGTGACCGGTCCACCAGATATGGGAGCACCGAGTTAATCACCCGGGCTCCCCTCAGACCCTTGGCCTCCTCGGCGCCCAGGAACCACACATAGTACGAGGCCTTCTGCACGTCACGGCGCAGGCGCAGCGCCATCTTCGGGCCGGAATGTGCGACTCGGCTTAGCTCGGTGCACACGGAAAGAAAATGCGGGTTACTATACTTGATTCGTAAAAATGTTATTTTACGTTAATGGCTGGATTTAAATGCACATTGACGGGGCGGTCATCTAGAAAGATAGAAAGGGATTTAAGCTATTTAATAAATATTTATTTAAGAAATAGGGTAATTATTAAGCTTCAAATGCTTGGTAAAATAATATCTGAGAATATAAAAAAAATTTTTTTAAAGGATAGATTTGGTGAAATCAGGTATTGATTATTATTTTTTTATACATTAAGGTATACAACAATTTTGTTTGATATATGGATCTAATATAATCAAGAATTAAACAAATTAATTCCACATATCAGTAATATAAATATTTTACGTTAAATTCTATATATTTCCATCTAAAAATTTCGATATATCACCATTTAAAAAATGTTAGATATTATATTGAGCGCAATGTTTTTGTAGATATATAATTTCCGCCTTTTCTATCCTACCTGCATCCCTAGTGCAAAGCTATTAATAGTGATCGTAAGTATAATATAATTTACTATTATCCTATTACATAGTATTAAAATAATGGGGTTTCAATTTTTATTGTGACTTATTAGTTATTGCAGAAATAAATTATTTTATAATGCCTAGATAACTTCTTCATTAAATATTGGTGTTTTATATTTTTTACTTTCATATTTAATTTTCTATATAATTTTATATATTGTTTATTGCCAATTTTGTAATTTATCTCTGTGTATCTCGCAGCACGTCTCCGTGATTATCGCCATAAGACACTCAATTTGTAAAGAACTAATCCTCATTAATATTAATAACACACATTGATACGTTGGGGTTCATATAATTAAGAACCGAGTCAAGGCAATAAGATAAATCACATTATTTACATAAACTTGAAAATCTGTTTTGCCAGCACAGTTAAAAGGTAATAATTTAAACATTTTTTGCCAGAAATTCGAATAGCGTCTGTAAAAATACTGTGCTATAAAAACTTGATGATGAAAACAGTTGCTTAAGGTAATTATTTTAATTTTTAAGGATGCTAATAAATTCTCTACGAACAACTAAACTTCATTATTATTTCATTTAAACATTTTCAGAAAAAAACGGTAACAAATAATGTAACTTGATTCGTTCCCCATTCTATTTTTCTTCTTTGTAAAGATTTAACAGTAAAACTCCTCCAAAGATTGGTCTTCAATGTGAAGACTGTTTATACGGAAGATACCACGAAACATAATCCCATTAGAAGAGACTTGAAAAACCCACGTAAATGGAGGAAAAGATATATATCGGCATTTCGAGTTTTGATTAATGAATCACCACCGCCGTTGCCATCGCTTAATGTCAAAGAGGAAGTGCTTCAGCGACAAAAATAATAAAAGTCGATGGACAATAAACTGGAATGCAAATCGATGGCGAAGGCAACTGTTCCTCGAGAGCCAGCCACTAACGGAAAACCAGATGGATTCCAAAATGCAATCTCCTCCTCTCGTCATGTGTCATAATTCTGTGAGTGAGAAAACGAGGAAACGTGAACCGAGAAACGAGAAACGAAATGAGCCGTGGAGCATGGAGCTGGGAGCTGGGAGCATGGAGCGTGGAGTGAACGAATCAAAACTGGGGCCAAAAAACCGACCAAAATCGAACCGGCCAAACCAGCAAACGGTATTAACCCGTCACACAGGTGCTAGAAGCCATTTAAAAGCACAGAAAAAAATGCAAATTAAATTAAGATTTATCTTTGGACTACGAAAAAGTCTTTGGCTCTTATCAAGTATGACTTCAAGTTGGGGTGTCTGTATATTAAAATGATTAATTATTGCATGAAATTTCTATTTGGTTGTCAATTTGTTATAAATAAAACAAAGGAATTGTTTGAAATAATATCTAAGGTTTACGAAATTCAAAATAAAACCTTTGGTATTATTTAATTTATACAAATAAATCCATAATTTGTATAATTTATATTTGTATGATATTATCTCATTCAGAAGGAAGAGTTAAATGTTGAAAAGGTTTTACATTAGTTTCGAAATATACAATATCAAATATTATATTTCAAATAATAGCAAAATTTATTGATATACTCTTTCAGGTTTATATAATTTAATTTAGTTTAATTTAGTACAAACTATAGTGTTCATTTTACAATTTTCACAAACTTATTGCTTTAAATTCAAAGAATTGCGCATCTAAAAAAGGATGTGTATAATAATACAGTTTAAAAATAGTATTTTCCAATAAAACAAGATCTTTAAATATATCATTTGTAAACATCCTTTTTTGATTTAGATTTCTCGGTGTATCCCAATCTGCGTATGAGATTCTCCCCTAATAATGCTTATAATCGATGATCTTGCGAGACTTGTTGTTCAACGCGGCCAAAAGAATCTTGTTTTTTCAGTTATGCATTCAGCCGAACAACAGCTAAAGCTCCGCCGAGAGGAGACAGATAGATATATATACAGGTATTTATCAAAAGCTATATTGTGTGCCGAACGAATTAACATACGACACACAAATATGTGCGGTGGTGCATGTAGGTGTTTACTGTCAACCAGCAATATTGTTAACCTCAAAACGGATCTAAATATATTTAAGCAGCGAGACTGAATAATTATTAAAGTAACAAAAAAAACCAAAACCGAATCGAACTGAACCTGACAGAATGCGAAAAACACAGCTGGTTCTCCAGAATGCGATTAAGATATGGCAAAAGAAGCGCTATAAAAACATTTGGCAGTACGTGACTCTTGGCATGGCATTCCTCTTGCAATCAAAATAAAATATAAGAAATTAAAGCTTGGCTTTAATCTTTTGGCGAATAATTTGGAAATGTATTTAAAATTAATTATGGAAAGGAAATAAGCACATTTGAGGAAACAGTTAATTTTCAATTCGTTTCAAGTAACTATATTTGTAAGTAATACTAAAAGTCATGGGTTTTAATTATAGTCTTTAGTTCAAACTTGTTTTTTTTGAATACATATAAAATGAAGTCATCATATTTGCTTGTATATAATATTTTATATTGAATTCTGTATTGTCAAAATTAATTTTGTTGAGAAATTATTGTGATTTTTTTATTTATAAAGTAACAAAAGCTATGTTCATGAATATTCTACAAGAAGTTGTCAAAAAACATAAACAAAACCTATACAGGTTTTGTTTTTTTGTATTCAAGTTTTAAGCCCCTAAAATATATTCCGGACTTTTCCATTCTAAAATTAGTAAAAATATGCAAAAGGGGAGAAAACAACAAGTATGGGCACTAGGAACTCCCAGAAGCCGCAAGAAAAGAGGCAGCCCAGCAAAGATTTCCATTTTTTCCCATTTTATGTGAATGTGATGAAAGAGCCAAGTCGGGCAGAGATCTGCTGTTCGTATAGCATATGCTATAGTTGAAGATATTAGCATAAACAATCCGTTTGCTGGTCAGCCAAGCAGCAAATAAACAATTTGCAAAGAGATCTTTTGTTATGCTGGATTGTGTGTCTGTCCCTCAGTCTGTAGTCTCCTAGGTTTGGATGGTGTCTCATCTGTGCATATCGGAACAATCTGATCTGTAGAATCAACTGTCTGCTAAGACACATATATATACATATAGCCAAACAAATTGTTTCTAAACACGGAAATGTTTATGTTTATAACTTGTACTTATTGTTTATAGTTGTAAAGTTTTGTCAGGGATTAAATGATAGTCTTTTTGTATATAAAAAAAGGATGTATAATAACTTAATTTTCTTTGATACTTTAAAGAGTCCTATTTAAAAAAGAAATTCTATTAAATTTGTATATAATTTAATCAATATTTAAATAAGAAAAATGATGGAAATAAGGGGATTATCATAATATTGTTTATTGATATTTTAAGTTTTATTGAAAAGCTGATATTCATTGAGATACTGAAGAAACTATATTGGATTCGACATTTATTTTATATTATTTTGCTAAATTTTTGGGTAGTTCCAGTTAAGAAATTTTTAATATATATTTAGGAATGAGGTTTTAATAGGTTATCTTTTTCATTTGCAAAAACATGTCTTCGATAAATAAGCTAAAGTGTTTTACTTTTATGATTTTTCTTTGTATTTAAATTATTTGTTTAAAATTTTGGGAAATTTTAAATAATATTGATTTAATCTATTACATTTAAATCAAGACAAAATATATAATAAATTATATGTTTATATTCAGGTATTAATATATTTTGTATTGTGTTAAATAATCAAAAGGTTTTTGTCGAGCAAAGCTTGCAAATATTGTAAAATGTATTTATTTTTTATAATCCTGTGAGAATATTATTTATAAATAATTGTAAATATTGTAATATATTTAATGCTCAAGAGGAATTTTAATATTCTTCAAATAAGATTTATAATTATTTAAAGACTTCTGAGGCAAACCAATTTATAGCTCTTTAAATCTGCAATTTATTTAAGATTTATGTTCCTTTATACCAACGCAACAAGATACAATATCTTATAGGTTGAAAAGTTCTTCACAAGTAATGTCAAATGCATTGTTCTTTGAGCGTTATTTCAGCCGTGTTTTTTGTGTTGGCCTGGCCTTTTTTTGGCCATTTATTGGATTCGTGTCTTTGTGGTCCGCCTTTTGCCATTTGTTGTGTTTTTTTTTTGTTTTGTCTGCTTAGAAAATGGGTTAAGCGCATTTTCTGCTGATTTTCAGATGCGAATTGGTAACACACACACACACACACACTCTGAGTCGCACTTTGGCACTTGCACTGTTTATTTGTTTATTTGCTCATTTGCTTCCTTCCTTCTTTCTCTCCCTCTTTCTTCTTTCTTCTTTCTCTTCCATATATATTCTTTCTCCGCTCTTGCTCCATTTCCGAGCTGAACTCGATCAATGAACCGTTTAAAGCTCACACAGATACACACAGACACTTGCCAGCGGAGCGTTTAAATTTCTAAAAAAAACTTATTTGATTAACGGTAATGGCCAAGAGAGTCGGCTAACACATACACTACAACACTATAAACACACACCAGTACACACACCTCTCTGTATTGTTGTGGGGGGAGAAAAAAAAATAGAGTCAGAGCTCCGCTTCGCTCGGTTTTTCTCGCGTTTCACGCGCGTTTCTAGCCGCAGACAGAGAGACGTCTCAACTCAACGCTTCGACCGCCAGCAATCGACTGACTTGGCTCAGTGCCTCCGAATTCAGTAAAAACGCTCCGCCGAGTCGCGACTCGAGAGCTGAGCAGCTACCAACCAACTAGCACCCCTCCTCGATCCCCGATCCCCGAGATCCCCAGCAGTGGCCTGGCCTGGCTTTGGCCTGAAACCCACCAGCAACAACACCAACATCCAACTTGGCCAGACCGAGCCGAGCGCAGCCGAGCCCGAACTTGTTTTTTTCGGTTTAGGCCGTCGCGCGGCAAAGAAAGTCAAGTCGCGCGTACGTACATACCTAGCGTACCTACTGCGATATTGTGCACAGTGTAACAGGGTATTGGGAAAAATGGGTTACTTTTTCATTAAAAATCAAATCAAATATGTCAGGGAAAATATATACACATATATATATAATAGGTACTTGTCCTTTGGCAAGTTCTTTTTGTTGTTTATACCCGTGCTGGGTGTTATAATTTCAGTTCAAAGTTTTCAACGCAGTGAAGAAGTCATCTCCGACCACATAAAGTATATATAGATTTGATTCAAAGCTATCTTTTATTATTATAGAATTTCGTTTTTTGATTTATGAAAATCGGAATACTATATAATATAACGCATGAGAAACGGTTAAATAGAGGATCAGTAAGTATCTTTTAACAGTAAGTAACTATGACCAGTAAGTATCAATGAACATTAAGTAACTATGAGCCATAAGTAACTATAAGCAGTAAGTAACTCTGAACAGTAGGTATCTATAAACATTAAGTAACTATGATCAGTAAGTACCTATGACCAGTAAATAACTCTGAACAGGAAGTATTTATCACAAGTAAGAAACTATGAGTAGTAAGTATCGATGACCAGTAAGTATGTATGATCAGTTACTAACTTTGAACACTAATAAACAATGACTTGCAACTTTTGTAATACAACACATTTCGGAGACTTGGCCGGCAGCAGTCACTTCGTTCCGGGGATGTTAGAACAAGTTGGGAATCATATGCACAGATGTGCGAGACTTGTTTTTGAGCACATTTAAGAGCAAGCTATTTGAATAAAACTATGGAGTTATTTTTATATATAATTTTAACTAGTATATAAATCGGAGTATGGCAAATCGGTGGACTATATATATACATATATATGGCTGCCATAGGAACAATCGGAAAAAGAAAAATCATAACTTTAGCTATCAACAGATTTTCATCAACTTTAGCCATTTTATATTATTGTAGAATTTTTTGTAAAATTTAATGAAAATCTGATTACTATATCTTATATATATCATGTATCCTATACCTTCAACATACACTTCAGTAAAAATTGTTTTATATAATAATCCCCATATAATGTTTTTTGGTATATAATTTCACATTTCCTAAGCCCTTATATGTATCTAATCAGTCAGAGCTCAGATTAAATACCCGGATCAATCATTACATTGTGCCCACTGTGCGGCGCTGTCTTGATTGTGGAGTCTCTTGTGCTGGAATGTGTTGAAATTAAAAGTTGTTGGGTTTTTGGGCGCAGCGTCAACATCACGGCCCTGGCCAAAGTGTTGTTGTTATTCTTGTTGCTGCCGCTGCTGCCGACTTCTTTTTTCTGCTTTTGTTTTTGGCTTAGACAGGTGTACGCTAGTGCTGTTGTTGTTGTTGTTGTAGTGCTTGCCACCGGTTACTGGTGGTTGTTGTGGTGTTGGTGTTGGTGCTATTGATATAGCATTGAGCACTTTTTGAAAAGCCGTCGTGCATTCTACAAGTTTTCCAACTACCAACAACTACCACAACTACTTGGCCAACATTGATTGTGGTTGCAAAAAAAAAATACAAAAAGATGAAGAAAAAAGACTCGAAAAATAAATGAAAAACTTGGCATTTAAGCTGCGAGTGAAATCTACAGGTAATTCTTTTGCCCATACTGGGCTCTTGATTTTCAAAACGGAAATGCTCAAATTTAGCCAAGGTGTCTCCGATACATATATGTCAAACATAGTTGGTCGCTTTTTTGGCCCAGTTCTCGCGACAGAAATAAAATCTACATCCGAGTTGATTTTTGATTATTTCCTTCTGTATATACTGACTGGATCTATTGACGGATTGCACGATTGGAGTGCCAATTTTATTTCATTCCCATAGTATCCACGGAATTTGTATCACCTGTATCTAATGTTTGTGTTGTTGGAGTGTTGGTGAAGTTTTGGAGTAAACAAAAAATAGTTCTACAACATTAAGATGATTAATTGAAAGTTAATATTAAAATGTATCTAAATATAATAGATAATAGCCCCTAAAGTCCCAGTAATTCGATTCCAATTTAATGATTCAAATAATTGAAGTTTTAAGTAATAAATACATATCTTAAGTATCTTTTTGGACGGGAAATCTCACTCACATCCGCGTTTAAGTTGTGACTTCATTTGCGGTTAATCTTTTTCTGTAACAACTTCATAGTTACCCATTTAACCATAATTCCACCCAGATATCTCATATCTCCCTATCTTCATCTGTAGATTTTTCATTAATTTTCGAAATGAACTCGCCACAAGGTGTGGTTCGTTGAATTTTTCGTTTTGTTTCCTTCTAAACCAACCGAAAACCATCAGCATTTCCTCAATTACAACAAGAAATTGCTCCATAAAAATGGTCTTGTAATGCAGTTACCCAGTGATGAGGCATTATTTATATTTACTTGGTTTTTTTTGGGAAGAGGGTGAGAGGATCAGGAGTGACCTTTTATGTTTACTCTTTAGTAATATTCGAGTTATTTTAAAGATTGATCGAGGCCCGATCGTGATAAAATTCAAGTCTTTACATGCCGCAATGCATCGCATTAAAGTGGGCCTTAACACGGTGTAAAGAGACAACAATTTAATGACCTTGCTCGCTGGCATTTTTTGTACTTTTTTGTGTATTTTTTTGCTCGCTGTACGAGAGGCCCATAAATGCATTTTCGGCACGTTTTCGCAGAGCGGAGATTTCACCAACTCTGGTTTTTTTGGTGGGCCTTGTGGTGCTTCTCCTCGCTTTTGACAAATCCCTGCTAACCTGCTGACATGAAATGGGCGAAAGAGAGAGGTATCCGCCGAAACAATTGCCAAACGGAATTTCACTTTTCTTCTTCGGCGGCTATGGAAAAGCTGGAAACTGAAAACTGAAAAACGAGCAGCACAGAAATTACACATGATACGAGAGACATGATAATTTGCAATTAAATTCAGCTGGGAACTGGTTGCTTAAATATTTATATATATATAAAATATATATATTTTTGGGAGAAATCAAAAGATAAATATGGCCAAGGCCAAGGAAGAAGCCAACGCCTCGAGCTCCACTAACTGATTTGTATGGCGGCAAGTGGCTTTCTTTTGGGTGCGACGACACACACACACACACACAACGGGTGTGTGTATCGAGTTGTGCGGAGGTTTAAGCGCTTTTAATTGAATCGCAATGGGGCGACCAAAGGGGGCACATCAGGGATATAGACTTGATCTCACATGGAGAGAAACAAAAATAATAGAAAAAATGGGAGTAATTAAAATGAGGAAAATCTTATCTTACAATTAATAAAAAATATTCCAATCAATTGTAACAAAAACATTCTAATTAATTATAAGGTAAAATATAAAAGAATTCTAACTAAATTCAAAGAAAACACAGTTTTCTGATGCCGGGAAATTCAATATTATAAAATAATTCAGCACCCTATACATTCCCAAGTTAGTATTCTTGAAAATGCTTATAGAACTGAAGTACAAATCAATTAAATTCGATTAAAGACTTCAACTCAATTTAAATAAATACAATAATTAAAGAGCATTCCTTCTGCAATAATTATTAATTATTTCAGCTAATTATAATTGATTTTTTTCCACCGTGTATTAGTGGGCAGTGCACAAAGTGTCCGAGCGTCGAGAGTCGAGAAACGCGTTAAACCGCTTTTGATTTTTATATGTGGCCGGTAAAAGTGGGTAATCATCATTAGCGGAGGCAAAACCAATCACTGTGCCAAGCTCTGTGCCAAGAAGCCACCATACAATACACCATACCATACACCATACTATATATCCCATCGGATTGGATCCGATCGGGTCCCACCTCCTCGTCCACCGGCAGATTAGGCCTCTCGGTGAGAGTGCGACACTCGGATGGTCGGTGGAAATGGAAATAGAAATGGAAATGGAAATGAAAATGGAAAGATACTCGCGCGCACAAATTAAAACATTGGCGCCTAAGTCGGGTTATGCCGCTTGATCGGATCTGTTTTTTTTTTCGAAGAGAGAGCAAGTGAAATTCACCTGGCACTTAAGCTTCTAAGCCTCGCCTCCGAATTTGTCACCGAAAACTTTCAATTGACGTTGTGGATCGCCACGGAAAGTCAATTTCTCCAAAGCTCTAATTTGATTAAAGCCAAATGTATCTTGTATGGCAAAAGATACAGCCCACAGATATCTCCCACAGAAGTGTACCGCAAGATGCCTCATCAAATACCTCATCAGTTTACAGTTTGAGAAGTTATAATGCAAAAAAATATATATTAATATAGTACTTTAATATTAGAGAAACTTTATAGTGTATTAATAAAAGCGTGTCTTAGAATTTGGACTTGGAAATTTCTGGGACACTATTAATTAAGAAAATATTTAATTTCCCTGCATAAACAAACTATTTTTCTTCTAAAAATTTACTTTTAACAATATAATGTTATATATTTTATAATTATTTTAAGATACACCTCTTTTTCAAGTAGCCTGCACTTTTTCTCTCCATTTTTTGGGCACCTAAAGTGCCTTCGATGGTTATCCTACTTGGCAGCAGCTCCCCAAATGACTTTGAAACACTTTTGCCATGGCCACAGCAAGTGAAACTCACTTGGTGCCGCTTGGAGCTGCTTTGGAGCTGCTTTGGAGCTGCTTGGAGCTGCTCCTCGAGCCATCAATTCCGAATCTTCGGTGCCGCCGCTCTCTTGTCATCGTCGGAGAGGAGAGCCGACAAAAGAAATTTGA